GAAATTTTTTGCCAAAAATTAACCGTTTTTAGAAAATTTTAAAAACCGAAAACCGGGAATTTGTCAAAATTAGTGATTTTATTTGAAATTCCCCAAAAAATAAACTGGTATTTGCCTAAAACTCAAAACCTAAAACCGGGTTTCTAAAATTTAGATTAACCGAAAACCGGGGGTACCGGTTAATAACCGGTCGCCAACAACCCTAGTATTAACCCCATTCCGGTTTGGGTTGTCAAGGCAAGCAGATTATCCGTATCATGGTTTTATATCAGATCGGTATAAATCATTGATCGAGGCTGTAGTCCTTTCTGGCCAAACAGCATGATAGGAACGCGTTTGACAGCTCCCTTGAAGTCCCATAAATTTTTAAGTTTTGATTCTATTATCAATTTACATAAATACTCAATTTAATATTGATAAAATATTAAATATTCAGTTATCAAATTTTAAACAAAGCTTGAAGAATGAAGTTAAAACCGAAGAAATAAAAAAAAATATTATAAAGTTTGATATTAAAAGATATATGTAATTATTTATAATTCAGTAATTAATGTAAATTATTATGTAGTTTTGTATATTTAAATAAATAAAGTAATTAAAGTATATTAATGTCAGAACGAATATTCTGCCGAAGAAAACTCTTAACAAAAAATTTAGCTATTTGCTGTGGCCGGTTTGAGTTATTTTAGGTATTTGGGTCGAGTATAACGATGATACGGCCGGTCATTCATTAGTCTTGTTTATTCTCAACTTCATTATTCTGTTAATCTCAAAACACACGCAACACTTATCAATTATTATGAACAATTAACAATTATCAACAGATATGCAAACTTTTATCACAGTTTTTTGCCACTTATGTTCTTGCGCCTACAAAAATACCAAATAAATAATACCATAAATTGGCTAGAAATTTAATACAAACTTAAAGTTTTTTATAACAAATTAAAAAAAATTTTTTTTTAATTTTCTTCTTAAATTTTTTTTTTCAATAAATCAATTCTTACACGTAGCTCTCTAATAGAGTGCAAGTTTAGAGAAAGAGAATAATCAGGCGATAAAGGCTATACAGAATCCATTATAGACGTCTTATAAAATTTAATTCTATCAAATCAATCACTGAATATTATATAAATTTTTAAATAAAATAATTTGTTAATAATTAATAAAATACCGTATTTGCTCTAGTAATTCCCCAGGGGGATTATTGTTTCAACCCATCCACAGGGTGGGGAATTTATAGAGACTGGGGAATTAATAGAGTGGGGTAGAAGAGGGGGATTATTGTTTCAACCCATCTCTAGGGTGGGGAATTAATAGAGACTGGGGAATTAATAAAGACTGGGAGATTACTAGAGTAAATACGGTAATTAAATAATTTTTAAATGAATACCGTATTTTCTCTAAAATAACACTCCTCTAAAATAACCCTCCCACTCCTCTAGAATAAACCCCCCTCCTCTCTAAAATAACCCCCCTCTCTAAAATAGCCCCCTCTAGAGGTCGATCGAAAAAAATAACCCCCGGGGCTATTTTAGAAAAAATACGGTAATTTAATGTTTAATTTAAATAATTTAAAGTTTTATTTTTAATTTTAGATATTAAAAAATTATTATGAGAAAAATTAAAACATCTTATATTATTATTTTGTTTTTGTTTATCTATATTGATAATCAAATGTTTATTGAAGCAAATCAATTCGCTAAAAGTTTATAATTTTTAATTTTATTTAAAAAATTTTAATTCTAGGAGTTTTAACAAAAATGTCAAATTCTATGAAACATACCCGTACCGTGTCTTTACAAGCTCTTAGAAATGCTTACCAAAAAACTAAAAATAGTGATTTTGCTAAAGAGCTATTGTTGGCTGGTGGTGCTTTTGTAGGAGTTTTAGGATATGCAAAGATTAATGGAAAATTAAATCAAAAACCAACAGAAACTTTCGCCAATCAAAGAGAATACACTGCTCCACAAAAGAGTACATTCCCCCAAATTTTACAACAATACTCGGTTAGCGACCTTTTGTATCAAATTTCAATTTAAATAGTTTTTTTTTATCCAATTCCACATAAAATTTAAACGAAAAATGAAGTATTTATCACCTCCAAAATAGTATACAGTCACTTGATATTTTCCAAATTAGGGGTGGTTCGAAATCTACAAAAATTTCTGTAAAAATATGTACTATGTTCTACAACAATTCCTTTATTATGATCTCAAAACGCGAAAATCAACTGACTGAACCTGGGTTGAACGTGTTTAAAAATTATTTTCGACCCCTTATAGGCTTTATTAAATTTCCATTTTTATTAAAGCCCAATAAAAACTTAAAATTCCAATGGAGTACAAATTAATGAAAAAAATTTCTACAAAATCCAATAAACAATTTTTCTTTATTACAGAATAATTACTTCAAGAATCAAGCGAAGTTTGGTGAAACTTTTAAAGAAAATATTAAGATGCAGCGTTATAATTCTCAAGTTGAACAACATGCTAATCGTATGAAATTTGGCCATTTAAAAGACAATAAATTGGAGAAGGAAGATTCTGTCCCAGAATCAGAGAATCATTTGCCCCAGAATCAATTTGCAACATATGTTAAGGAACAGGATGAATTAAAAAAAGAAGTAATTCGTTAAACAAATTCAATTTTCCGCGATATTTAAAAATATTTTAAACTTGTTTCCACCTCCGCGATGTATTTATTTAAAATGTCAAAATCCAAAAAGTTGTAAAAAAAGTAAATTTTTTTGGGATTCCCGGAATGTCATTTGAAGTCGTAATTTGTATACCTGATATGTACAAATTACCTCATTTCATTGTACACTGCTTCACAAAAGTATAAGTTCATTTTGTCCAAAAAGATTGTACATACCGTATTTCCTCTATTAGAATGGCCCTCTCCATTTGAGTGAATCACTCTAATAGAATGGCCCTTTAAAAGATTGAGAAATAGAATGGCCGGCCATTTTATTAGAGGAAATACGGAAATTATTTACACAAATATTTGAAAGAATCTGTTGCTGATTATTTAATTTTATCGTATATTCATGTATTTTATATTTTTGGGAAATATTTACATATTCAAAAAAATTTTTTTTTTATTTAAAGTAAAAAAAAGTCTAACGGCATTTATAAACGTTTTTTTAAATTTATTTAATTGGTATGATCTAATAATACAATAATCGTGACCAAAACTTAGCTTGAAAAAAATAGCTTGAAATACCAAACCCCTAAAAATAATTGAAATACTGAACCGTGAAAAAGTTTGAATTAACAAATAAATATCAAATCTCGTATTATTATTCAATTTGTTATCAGAAATGCTGAACTATATAATTTATTTCAGAGGTTAAGGGAATATCAACGGTTCGGCCAATTGTGATTTCAAAATTTGTTTCCGATTCGAAATTTTTGAAATCTCACAGAATTTTTCATAGAGATTCGAAGTAGAAAAAATTGCAAAAATCCTGCTAAATTATTAATTCGTGCCGAATTTTAATATGCCCTACAATCCATTTCAAAATTATTTTTAATAGGAACTCAAAAATCGGCATTATCCCTGCTTTCTAATAATCAAGGAGTTAATCGGATTTTTGTCAAAAAAAATTTCCTAATTGAATTATTCAAATTCTTCTTTTATCTTTTACATTTCAAAATCCATTTCCTTTTAATTTAGACACCGACATAGGGTAAAGGGCAAATAAAAAATTATATGTATGAGAAAAATAAGGCCTTTCACAATATTATTTTAAAATATTATTTCAATTTTATTAAAAAAAATTTTTTAGACAACGTGATTTTGGGTAATGAAATTTAAATTTCTTAAAAAAAATTTCTTAATTGAAAAAAATATTTTATTAATTTTTAAATTAAATTTAAATAATTAAAAAAGGTTAATGTTTAAATGTAATGGAAAAGAAATGTTTTTTATTTAATTTATTTTTTATTTTAATTTCAATATTTTCAAATATTTTTGTTAATGCAAAAACTAAAAAAATAAATAATAATCAAAATAATCATTTACATCACCAATTAAAACCTCCCCCGAGACATGCCAACCTTTTAATTGACGACCATTTAAAAGGAGGTAAAGGTCCCTATAAAGGATTGCTTAAAGATATTCGAGATGGACATCCAGACAGAGCTTTGCCCGAACTTTTAAATTTGGCAACATTTCATGATACAGAAATAAATGCTTTAATTGATAGAATGGGGGATGCTGAAGCTAGTATTCATTTACTGACAGTGAATCAAGGACAGGGAGGAGGTGGTGGACAATATGATAATCAGCAAGATTTGACTGATATTTATAATGAAGTTGAGGTGATAAATACTAGAGATAGGTCTGGATCAAATACAGTCTGGATTTTTCCTGAATCCAGAATTAAGTCCAGATCCCTAAATCCAGATCCAGAATTTTTGAAAATACCGATCACTAATAAATACATATTTTTATTTATTTAATGGTTAAAAAATTATTTTTAAGATAATATGATGAAATAAATAAAATAATAGATAGCGAACAGTTTTTGATTATAGTCAGATTTCTGAAACTTAAACAATTTTTTGATAAATTTTACAGAAAGAACCTTAAAAATAATGTTAAATCTAATATAAATCTAATAGTGTATATCTCTAGTTAAATAATCTTATTATAATTTGAATGACCATAAGGCCTAAGCAATACTTCCATTTGAGATACGAAAAAACTTTTCCGAGCTCCAAGGAATTTTTTATCAGACCGATTTAAAATAAAATAAGTTATTATTATATTTTAGTATAATACTTTTGGTAAAATAAATAGTTAAGTCAAAAATTTTGGCTCAAAATTTTGCTTCCTGATAAATCCCTAGTGACATTAAAATCAAATATAATAATTAAAATTATAAAATCAATTTAGAAAAATTTTTATAAATTAGACAATATAAAAATCCCTTTTTAGAACATTAAACAACAAGTTGAGGATACAACTAATCGTGTAGATATTTTGGAGTCAAATAGTGGGGATATAAATAATAACAGCAATACAGATAAAATAGAGCAATTGGAAGAAAAATTTGAAAATTTGAGTCAAACTATGCAAGATCACGAGGTAAAAATGAAAAAAAAACTTTATTTTAACGAAAAATTTAGCAAAAAACTTTACAAATAGAAGAGGATTTGCGTAGAATGGATGAAGGTAATTCTAATTCATATCCCTCAACCTCTCAAAACGAAAACAGGGGAGATTTGTCTGCACAAATAAATAATTTGGAAAGAAAAATAAATAAAATTGAGAATTCTGTGGGGAATATTGGACAAACAAGGAATGGAAATAAATCTGAATTTGAGAGAGATTTTAATACAAAAATAGAAAAAAATATAAGAGAAATAAATGAATTAAAAAGCCAAATACGTAATCTTGGAAATAAAATTGGAAATAATAATCAAAATAATCATCAAAGACCTAACAACAATGAAATTGGAAACAGAAAAATTGAGGTAGAATTTAAAAATATTTTTATATAATAAAATTTAAAAATTACAAAAGATGTTAGAAAATAATTTAAAAACTCAAAACCAAAAAATTGAAGAAATTGGAAGGGAAATGCGATCAAAACAAATGCATAATAATAATGATAATCAAGTTGAGACAATGAAACGAACAATTGAACAAATTAGAAGAGAAATGAAAGAAAATGAAGTGAGTTTAAGAGATTTAATGAAAATTGTTTTGTGAGTCGGATGAGCGAGCCAGGTGGGTTCTCTTTCATTTTAAAAGCAGATGGTGGAAAAGGTAAGGAAAGAATAAAAAACAAAAGATGAAAGGCGGATGCGGAGGATATCGCATCCCCAGTATATCCCATCCTCTTGCCGCCCCTATATGTATATTTTTTATGTAAACAGGATTGTTGGTTTGCATCAGGGGATGGATGGGTTGAGAAAAAAATCGGGTCAGATTTCGGATCGGGTTTTTGAAAAGAAAAATTCTCGGGTCGGATCGAGTTTAAAAATTTTCTTCGGATCGGGTTTTGAGTATCGGGTCGAAAAAAGACCGGGTTTCGGGTTTAAATTAACTCGTCCCACTCCTGGTTTACATGATTATCTACCTGTCAAATCTTGAGGATCATAACATACCAAAAAAATTATTTTAGATTATAACAAAAGAAAATAAGCGTCGTTTAAGTCAAGAAATGCGAAAAGGAAAACAACAATTACCCCAACAAAATAATTTAAATGAAAGTACAAAACAAATAAATTTATTAAAAGAAGAAATAAAAAAAGAAAATAATACAAATCAAAATAAATTTAAAAAATTAGAAAAAGATTTGTTAGAAATTCAAAAATTAATTGAAAATAAAGAAAAAATGAAAAATAATGAATTAATTTTAAATGATGGAAATAATAAAAGAAAAATGGCCGAAATTGAAAAAATAATTTATTCAACTAAAAATGGTTTAGATTATTTAACTAATGAACAAAAAAATATTGAATATAAAATTGAGGAATTTGATAAACAAAAAAATGAATTGTTTAGAGAATTAACAGAACATAAAGAATTTATTAATGTACGTAAAATATTTTTGATAGGAAATTTTGGAGGGAATAAATAATTAAGAACTAACGTATATGCTGAAATAATGTCACTCTCTCAAATAGTTACCCCCGCCTTATTAATTACTCCCTTCAGTGAGAGGTTGAAACAATAATTACCCTGGGTAATTTTAGAAAATACGACAGTCCGTCCGTTAATCAGCAAAATTTTCTTTTCCCTTCCTTCCCTACTTTCTGCTAAAAATATGAAAATGGTTAAGAGATAATTTGCAGTTAACCGAAAATCCTCGGATACCCGAAACCAACCCAAAAATTTTAGGTAAGGTAAACGCTTCCGACTCTTGCCTTCTCGTTAAACGACGATTCCTATTTTATCCAAAAGTTTTTGTTGAAGATTTTCCAAGAAATGCCTGTTCAGGTGTGGCTCCCTCCATAACCGTCCTGCTGGAGCTGCATCTAAGATTTGTCTTTTTTCAAGGAAAAATCTCCTTTGCTTTCAAGGAAAAAGCACTGGAGAAATGCGGGTGATTAAAGGATTAGGCATGATTAACTAATAATTTATCAACAAATAATTACTTAATTATAGCAATTACAAAATAAATCAACAAATAAAAACGAAACAGAACAAATTGAGAGAAAAATGATTGAACAACGGGAACTAATAGATAAATTATTGGAAACAAAAATAAACGAAATACACAAAAAAATGGATATAATAAATAATAAAATTGAAGAAAATAAAGAATTATTCGAATTGGAACAAAATAAAAAAAATTGGAATTTAAAAAATAAAGAGACTTTGGAAGAACGTTTTAATAAATTTGAAAAAGAATTTATAGAGACATTTGGATGGAATATGAAAAATTATAAAGAAATGGAGGAAAAAATAAAAATTATGGAAAATAATGAAAATGAGTATTTACAGAAAATTGAAATAATTGAACAAAAATTAAATCGTTTGGGGAATTTAGAAGAAAAAATAAGAAATTTGGAAATTTTTGAGAATAATTTTAAGAGATTACAACCAACAATTGAAAATTTAGTTTTTAATGATAAAATAAAAAATGTTGAAATTTTGGAAGAAAAAATTAAAAAATTGGAGAGATTGGAAGATGTTAAATTGCCAGAAATTGAAAAGGAAATATTTAATTTGAATAAACAGAGGAAACTGGATATTTTGAAAATTAATGAAATTGATAAATTAAAAAATTTGATAACAAATATAAATGAAGAAAGCAGAAATAATAATAAAAATTTTAATGATGAAATCAAAAAATTAAATTCTTTGAGGTAAAAAAATGAACTTAAATTTTATTTTAGAAAATCTCAAAATCAGATTAGAATTTTTAGACCCTAAAGCCATCCGAAAAATATATCGTACCATAATACCGAAAAATACCGATACAGATAGAAAACTTCAAAATCTTATCGGTCTTCCGTACGTAATAATACCGGATACCGTTAAACAATGAAAAATACAGAGATAGTACGGTACTATCCGAACTCTACTTTAAAGTTAAATTCATAGAACCAAATTAGCTCACGCCCATAAAGCTCAGCTAAATTTCATTCCAGTTAAATTTACTTTCCTCATCTTTGTGTTCGATAAGCCTTGTACTCGATAAAGAACAACCAATTTCCATTAACCCAATCGCTTTCAGCACCCTGGGAAACGTACACTACTAAGGTTAGCGGTTCCGGGTATCCGGACCGAAAAAACCTCGGATATCCAAAAATTTCGGTTCGTATATCCGGAGATTTCCCAGGAACCGCCATCCTTATACACTACATTTATTTCCCCTCTCTTAGATAGAGCAGACCCCTATTTAACTTATTCATTTGATTTTATCATCAAGTTAAATATAAATTTAGATTACAAATTGGTAAAGTTGATTTTACAAAATTAGAAAAGGACATACAAACATTAAATGAAAATAAAAGAACATTAACTAAAATAGAAAATGAAATGAAAAAATTTGGGGATTTGGATGTTAAAATTATAAAAATTGAAAATTTGGAAAGAGAAATGGTAAAAATAGATTATAAAGGAAGGTTAGAAAAATTGGAAAAAAATATTACAAATTCATGTAAATATAAACCGGACACAAAAGCAAAAAATGGAAATAATCAACAAAATGAAATTATAACTAATATTACTCCTATGCAGTGGGAGGGAATTAATAAACAATTAAAATTATTAGAATTGGATATTAAAAAATTTGATGGTCTTGAAAAGGTAGTTTATAATCCTATTTTTATCTATGGTAAGAATGGTTTAGGTATCACTTTAAGAACAAACGAGGTTTGTTCTCGGATAGTCTGCAGCCATTAAAACGTAAATTTTCACATAATCTATCTTTACTTCTGCTGTACATTTCTAGAAAAAGGGATATATCTGAAGATATCCGTAGAGGATATGATCTTAAAGAGAGCATGCTTACTTGGAAGTATAGCAGAAAATTTGAGGAAACAATGGTTATTAAAAGGCTAACAAAGCCATATTATGTATATCATTAACTCATTCTCTTTCCTCGTAAAATGTCAAGGTCTTGGTTTCAAGTAATAATCCTGTATAAGAAACCCAAACAATATTTTTAGACAAAAATATTTTGTTTCACGGATGTAATGAGTGAACAGTTGGTTCTGTGGATTTATACTATACTCCTTAATCTATGTAAAATTAAATAGACTAAAAAACATTTTTTACATTTAAAGTTATTGCCAACGCGAATTGCTGTTTTAGAAAAACAAGTAAAGGACCAAGATGAAAGACTCTGGATTTTAGATAATTTCAAAACTGGAACAAATTCATTTATTTTACAAATAAGTGAAAGGATGATGGAAGCTGAAAAAAGAATTTTAATGCTTGATGGAATTCCCGAAATGGTTAAAGCATTGGAAAGACAACAAAAAAGGGAAGAAAAAAGGGTGGATAGACATGAAGCTTTTGTTAACCAATTTGATAATTTAGAAGAATATTTAACTAAAATAAGAATTTTAGAATGGGAAATTAGAAAATTTGACAATATTGAACAATTTGTTGATAAAGTTAATTTAATGGAAAGGGAAATAAAAATAAATAGGCCAAGAATTGATAAAATAGAGAATGATACAATAAATATTTGGGAAAATGTTAGAAGGTGGGGAAATCTAAAAGGACATACTCCTCCATTTTTATCCTTTTCTGCTTAAATTAGGCGGATAAGTAACCATAAATGACAGAAATTGTCGAAATCCGATTCGATTAGGTCCTACAACACTTGTTCCAAAATATAAATAAAATATTTATCCAAATATTTTCCAAACAATTTAATTTATTCCAACAATAAATAATAATATAAATCGTAGAGAAAGGGATTTAGTTTAGATTAATACATAAAGAATGAATGATTGAAATCCGAGGAATGAGAAAATTACATTTAGTTTTATAGAAAGTAACTTAGCGCCACTAAGGGCGATTATTCTTAGGCTTAATCATCGCCACTAAAGGCGGAAATATTATTTTAGCGCTAATGTATTAGAACTTAATCGCTGCAGAAAGAGAAAAAATGATTAAGTTTAAAGAAATAAGGGGACAAAGATTAAAAAAGAGAGAAAATGGAACACGTGAAAAATATGTGAAATAAATAAAAATTTATTAATATTTTACTAAAATGTCGAACTTCGACAGAAATTAAAAAAATTTTTGATCGGGATATAGATAAGATGATTTAAGATTGACGATAAATTATGTAGCTCATCAGTAAATTGAATTACGGATCTTTCGGATCCGTTATTTTTTGAGTAACCGAAGTTATTTGGATAAAGGCCGTTGATTCAGTGCTTCAGTGCATATGGAATAAAGCCAATTCTTGATGGAAGATCGAGTCTCTTAGTAAATGGAGAATAATTGAAAATCTAGATGATATTCTAGATTATTGGGGTACAGAAAAACTTGGTTACTTCCCCAAACTCCCTTCCATGACCACTAAATACACTTCACAAATACAGCTTCCATCTCCTACTATAAACTGACTCTAAAAATTATTAAAGGTTATCAAATGATCTTCAAAAATTCGATGATATTGATGCATTCCTAAAAAGTTTTCGTTCAATGAATATTGAATTAAATAGAATACATACAAGAATTGAAATTTTGGAAAAATATGGAGAAGAAATTAAAAATATTTACAAATTTAATGAGCAAATACAAAATAATTTTAAATTAATGTTAGAGGAATTAAAGGAAGAGATTGATAAAAGATTCAGAATTGTTGATAAAACAATCCAAGGAAATTCAATTCGTTTGGATAATTTTGAACAAATAGCTGAAGAAATGAGAAGGTTAAAGAGAAAAGAACCAACAATGTTGGAATTGCAAAAATTTGAAGAAAAATGGAAACAAAATAATGAGGATATAATAACGAAACTGAGATTATTAGAGAATGCTTTACATAATAGAACAGAAAGAATTCTTAGGTTTTTATAAAATTGGATAAGTATTTTGGCTTGGGAGGGTTACCTAAAACTTCATGGCAGTTTTTGACCAGAGATTATAAACCCTATCACAAGAACATTTTAAAAACCAGGTAGCCTACACGCCTAATTTCCTCAACCCGTCCAATCTTTGATCAAGTCCCAATATACGGGACTGGAATCAGAACACAGTCAAATTTCTTGGTCCTTCGAATAAACTATTATTTACGGGCTTCTCCTTCACAAGTTATCAAAGACAGGTCTGTATCGGGCAATTACGGTATCATTAGACTCTTATCGATGAGCTCAATTAGTTTAAGTAAAAGTCAGTATTTAAAAAATTTCTGTGGGGATAAAAAAAAGGAAAAGATAAAAGAAAAATAGCTTACCTATTTTCGGAAACGGCCCTGTTTCTAGGCATATTCTTTAATTTTTTCTAAATAATTTTAACAGATTAGAATCATTCAATGCCGATATAAATAATTTTGGAGAAAATTCAAAACGTTTGAGACAATTTGAAAAGGAATGGAGATCCTTGGGAGGGATTGATGAACTTAATAAAAAATTAAAAAATATTGAATTAAATACAAAAACAATTAATTTACACGAAAAGGAAATACAAAAATTTAAATTAGACATTATTCGACTTTCGAATGAAAATAATACAAGAATTGCTGGTAGGTTGATTCAGAGTAAAGTTTATTGGCATATAATTTTTTATCAGTAATACAGAAAATTTTATATGTACATATGAAAGATCTCTAAGATCTTGACATGGAGAACTTATTCAGCTTTTTCATCTTTTATATCTTAGACCAGGGAAGGGCAGGGTTGAGTGTAAAAATCGGGTCGGGTTCTCAAAATTTTCTTTGGATCGGGTATCGTGTCTAAAAAAAGTCTGGGTTTCGGGATTAAAATAATCCAGAACCTCTCCGTTATAGACATGCCGACAAAATCCAAATGTGAGAATTTTGAAGAAAATGGAGCCTTTCGAATAATATAAGATTTATTCGAATTAGTCGAAAATCAGGAAAGTTAGTCCCGCAATTATCGACTTAACTGAAATAACTTTTACAAATAATTGTAGATATTGATATGATCTTAAATAGAGCATTATTAGCAGAAAAAACGTCAAAAAATTTACAGAAAAAATATGAAGATTTTGAACAAAATATGAAAAAATATGATAAATTAATTTTGGATTTAAATAAAATAAAAATATTGGAAGAACAATTAAAAAATATAAATAATGTTGATGTTTTCTTTAGTCGATTAACTGATTTGGAAAGGGGAATGGCTTTAAATAAAAGAGATATTGAAGAATTAGAGAAATCTAATAATTTAAATTTTAATAAATTGAATAATGAATTAAATAATGTTTTCTATAATATTAATGGAAAAATAAATAAAGTGGATATTTTGGAAGAGAAAATTAATAATTTAGGTTGGATTATTATAATTTTTTTTTCAAATTTTTTATTAAAAAAAGATAAAATTGTCGAACATAATTCTAAGGGCAATTTAAAAAATAAATTTATAATAATAAATTATCAGCAAATAGTAATTTTTGAAAAAATTTTTGGCACCTTTCTGTTATGGGGCTGCACATTTAAAATACTTTAAAATGACATGAATATGAATAAATTATACATATACCACTCGAAAGAGCTCGTTGAGCTAAGTCGAAGGAAACCAAAGTTATGGGTCCAAAGATCTCGCAACGCTAAGCTTAGATATTGGGCTCGAAATGGTCAAAAATTATAGGTCGAAACAGGCTGATTTTTGGAGGGATTTAAAGAAATAAAATAAGATGGCATTAATGGCATTAATTATTAGTGTTTCTTTTAAAAATGCTTGTACTTATAATGGAATAATGAATATTTTCTAGATAATTTCAATTACAAATTTCCACAAAGATTAAAAACTTTAGAAGATAATTTGGAAGTTTTAAAAAATAAAAATAATAATTCATTACTTCCAGAATATTATCGAGAAAAATTAGAAAAGTTTAAAGAATTAAATGAAAAAATAAAAATTTTAGAGAATAAGTCGATTGGTTGGGAAAATATTCGTTTAAAAAATAATCGGATAGATCAAATTGAAAAAGATTTATTTTCTTTAACTTTAAAAATTCAAAAATTTCAACATTTTAATGAAAAATTGGGAAATGCAAATTTTGAGAATTTAGATGATTTATTTGATAAAATAAAAATTTTGGAACAAAATCAGAAAATAATTGAACATTTGGAAATTAAAATTAAAAAAATAAAAGATATAGAAAATGAATTAAATAATCTGACAAAAAAGATGGCTAAAGTTGATTATTTTACTGAATTAATGAATAATTATACAAATTTGGAAAATGATTTGAAACAATTGAAAAAAGTTGATTGGGATATTTTGAATGATTATAATGGAAAAAATTTGGTTTGTTTTTTTTTGAAATTAAAAAAAATGAAATGATTTTTTTCGTGCAAATTTTTTGGGCGTTTTTTTAAACATAGTTAAATTTTGAATAATTTAGTCGGATCTCCTTATATCCTTATAGGTCGGATCTCATTTGCAAGACATTCACACTTGCTCGACGCTAGAGATCCAATAAACATCGATATTCTATCGAATAATATTCGAACTTTGGAATTGAACCGGCATTTTTTAAAATCGAATAATTTTCAAATTCGAAGTGTTTTTCGATTTTTACCTTCTACAGAGGTCGATCGAAAAAAATAACCACACGGGGTTATTTTAAAGAAAATACGGTATTTAAGTGAATTTAAAAAATATTTTAAAAAATCCGCAAAAGATCATTTAAATTGTAATTATTAAAATTTATTCATATAATTAATTGAAATATAGAATTCAATAGTTCAAACTCAAAAACGCTTAACAACTTTGGAAAATCAATTTTTTGGAATTTATGGGATTAATGGATTTAATCAAAATAAAAATAATAATGAGGGTATACTTGCACGTTTCTCATTGTTAGAAACTGAAATGAATGAATTAAAAACACATGAAGGGAGAATTACAAATTTAGAAAAAATACAAAAGGTTTGCAAAATAATAGGAAGAAGTTGAAATAATAATTAAACTGAGGACACGGATAATGGTTTTTCATTAATAGTAGAACTATTTTTTTGCCATGTTCAGAAAATGTACGAGATTATCAGGGATTGTCGATATCAGTTTAATAACAATCCCCGATCCGAAAGGTCGCACCCTAATTTAAACTATTTTATTTATATGGTATGTTAAGAAATCATAAAACCGTTTCTCCGTTTTCCTTGACCAACTCTAGTTGAATAACCCCTTTTAATAGAATGGCTCCATTTTTTAATCTTCAAATATAAATTTTCAATTTTTTAATCTTCGATATATTTTCAATAACAATTTATCAAAAGTATCAAAGACTAGCCGGGCTAGTATTTTACAAAAAGACTGACATTAAATTTTAAGGCCATATTCTCATCCAAAAAGAGAACTTGGCCTTAGACATAGATAATAGTTTTCTCAAATAATTGCCTCTCACAAATAATTGCTTTTTTGTTATTATTAATCCATCCAGCAAGAGGTTGTTAACGGTACATCATAACACACAACATAAGTTGCGCACCTTATTTATTCCTCTATTATTTACGAACATATTTTTATTTTTAAGATTTTAGAACTTTCTCCGAAAGGATATGACGATAGGAGATTAAAAGCTTTTGAAGCCCAATTCGGAAATTTTGAGAATTTGGCCTTAGAGCTTAAAGAAATAATTTCATTAAAAAGAGATATTAAAAATATTAAAAAATTGGAGAATAAAATTGATGAACTTGAAAATAATAAAATTATTGAAATTAAAGAAAAGACTGAGGCATTAAAACAAAAAATTGAAAAAAATATTGAAAATAGAATTAAAAGGTTTAAAAAATAATTATTTAATATAATAATTTATTTAAATACTTATAATTACTAAAGAAATTTTAGCTTGAATAATGGGCCGTTCTATATTTTTCTTTTTATTGTAAAAAAGAGAATGATCTTGGCTAGGCTTTAAAACGCTTACTAGGCGGGGGTTTAATTATTTAACTGACCAGCATGGAGATGAATAAAAAAGCGGGTGAAACCCCCCGGTAGCTCAATTGGTAGAGCACCTGTACGTGGTGAGCGAAGCGCCTAGGAATAACTGCCAGGAGGTCGCATTATGGAGCCTGCCCGGGATTAAACTCTTACCTCGCTCTTACTTTATTTATTACAAAGGTGATCGTGAAGAATTGGGGAGACATCCTAAAAACATCTTAAATTTTGGTCCCTAGACACAAAACGGAGTATATTCCAAAATGGAGTATATTGGGCTCCAAATTCCCTATTCCTAATCCTCTTGATATGAATTCAAAACACCCTTCTCCCGTAATAGTATTGACTTTATTTGCAAAACTGACAAAATCCCTTGATTTCCGTGAAAGGCTTCAACAATATTTTATTATAATTAATTTTATTTTTTATTTAAAAGATTGGAGAAATTAGAACCAGAATTATTTGATAATAAAATAAAAATACAAAAGATGGAAAAAGAAAACAAAGAATTGCGTATATTAATTGAAAATTCTGATTATTTTAATTATTTAAATAATGGAATTGAAAGGTAAAAAAATAAATTTTTTAAAAATTTATTTAAAAAAATAAATTTTAGTGGAAGTTCATCAGGAAATCGTTCACCAGCAAAAAATAAAAATAACAATAGAACTAGACCAGCATGGGGATGAAATAAATAATTTATTTAAACTAGGGTTCGACCCACGTTCACCGTGGCAGGCAATTCTATGGGGAACGTGGGGAGGTATCCCCCAGAGCCAGCCCCTGATCACCGTAAAATTTTTCCCCGACCCGAATGTCGCACCCTAATTTAAGCCATTTTATTTATACATACCTTATATACTCTATTAATTACCCTCCCTCAAATAATTACCCCACCTCTAGTAGTTACCCCCTACAGCGAACGATTGAAACAATAATTACCCCCTTACAAACAGTTATAATTAGCCTTCCTAAAATAACCTCTATTAATTACCCCGCCCCTATCAATTACCCGCTCCAGAGAGAGGTCGAAACAATAATTACCCAGGGTAATTAATAGAGTATATACGGTATGTATGTTGTGGTAAGAAATTATAAAACCGCTCTGTTTTCCTTGACCAACTCCAGTTGAATGACCCCTTCTAATCAACGTCCCCCGTCTGTTTTCTTCAAATATAAAAAGATAATTTTTATTCATTTTTATTCACATTTTTATTTTTATGTATTCCATGTTTTGAAATATTATTGAGTATTGTAATTGGATTATTGTAAAGTATTATTTAAATTTTCGTGTAGTTATAAAATAATTTACAGAACATCACATTCAAGGTATTTGAAAAAAATAGTGGTACTATAATGTAAAAACTTCCAAGACCGAGAACCAAGACTCAGGACCAAAGACTAAGACTTGACCATTAGACTCAAGACCAAACATTAACAAGACTTAAGACTATTTTTTGGTCCCATAGGGCAAATTTTTGGTTAACTTTTCGTATCTTAGACACCAGCATATATAAATTCGAGACTTTATATGAAATATAATCGAAATTCTGTAAAAATACTGGGATTTTGGCACCTAAGCCTACCGATTTTAGCGCCGCGGGCATAAATTTTAAGAATTATGAACGATCCTTAGGCCAAAAAATCAACCTTATTTGAGCCGCAGGCGCAAATTTTGAGAAGCTGAAAAATTTTTTGTATTTTTGAAAAATTTGATTTAGATCAAGGACAAACATTAAACTCAGTGAAGAGTTTGTTAAAACAAAAATAAATCAAATTTTTGAAGAAGTTACTTTTAAAAGATTTTATAAGAAAATTTTCATTTTGTCAAAATTCCAATCCGTGTTTAGTCTCCTAAAAAAGGGTCACAATTCTGAGGAATTGTCTGAGGATATTTATCACACTGATAGATATACATTTCCTCAAATGCTTGATCTATTTGTAATGATGTATTTATTAAAAGTATGCATTCATCTAATCGTCTTGCACCATCAATCACTCCAAATTCATTTAGGTATATTGAATTAAGTCGGATTTCCAACGCGGCAAATCCGATATTCATCTCATAAATTTTAGTTTATCTTTTAATATGCAAAGCTATACAAACAGACATGGATTTTTTATTCATTCTTTCTAGCTTTCTAGCAATTAATTTCTAAATATTAATTTAGAAATTTAAATTTTACCTCGTGACTATGAATAAATTACCCCTCCATTTCAGTTTTATAGTTATTCTTTTTCCGCTTTTTAATTTAAAATATATTGCCATGGTTATTAACTCATACTAGAATAAAATTAACGAATACTAAATTACTTATTAAATTATTTATTAATTTTCAATAAAGCTTTAGCTTTTTTAATAATTATTTCAAGTAAAATGGATAGAAAATTGGTTAATAAATGTCAAGTTTGCGATTCTTCTCTAAAAGTTTCACATCAATTCAACGTTAATTGTTGTAGAGTTTGTGCTGCATTTTTCAAGTTTTATAAATTTATTTTTAAACAAAAAAACATTTAAATTTTAAAAAGGATATATTTAAAAAATAAAAAACAAAAATTTGAATGCAAATGTTTAACAACTTTTGGGAAAATAAAACTAAGGTTGATAGATTGTGAGAAATGTTATCTTAATAAATGCCTTTCTGTTGGAATGAAAGAACCAGGTTGTCCTAAAAAATATACAACTAGACAACAACAAATAAATAAAAGTTGCGAAGAACAAAAAGTAAGAACTCTTGATCTTCGAAAATGTGGCAAAAATCGGGAAAAATTAGTTAAAATGTGGCAAAGGATTGGCGAATATATTAACTTAGAATTAATTAAAATCTTTAATGAAAGGTTGTTTCCCCGGAAGTTCCTGTTCCGGGTTCCGGAACTCAAATTGGATCCGGTTCCGGTCAAAATTTCGCTTGCAGTGAAACACTATTGTATAGCATATTTTTTACTAGTTTAATTGAAATAAGCAAAACGGATCTGTAATAGAGGAACATAAGTCTGATATGAAGTAAAAACTTAATCAGTTTAATTGAGGCCCTGTAGGGCTTATTTTATGTAATACTAATTGTACTTTTGTAGATCGTTGCTGTTATTGTCGATAAATCTGCTAAAGAATGCAATGAAATTAATTTTTTATTAAAAATTGCTGAGGATCAGAAAAGAATTTTGAATGCTTTTACTGATTTCAACGATAATTTGCTGAACGGTTCACTTTATTGCGAGGATATTATACTTTCAGGCTTTAATATTTTCGATCATATTGAGATGTTTTCGGTAAATTTATGTTAAAATTTACTTAAAATATTTCTTAAACCTTCAAGCCAAATCCGTATCCTATTTCTCGAGAAGAGATGCATAGCTGGGAATTAGACTGTGAAAGAGAGGGATTATATAATAAAAGGGCACATAAATGTTTTCTTGTTGATCAACTGGTATGTGTTGCTATTGCAAAGTCAATGCCTGTATTCGAAAAATTATCTATAGGTGATAAGGTAGACGGATATACCTAAAACAAATTCAACAAATTTTATTACAGATTGCACTTTGCCGGCACGTATCTGAAATATTTCCAGCCTTCACTGGTTCATTTATATCGTGTGAGCTTGGCGTGGATACGAGGACACGTAAGGATTGTGTTATGCCTGCTCTTGGTGTTATTAAAAATAAAGATTTTATTCATGATGAAAAGTAAGCTTTTCCTTATTACTGTAGAAATAAAATAGCCAACTTGTGACTGTCAAATTTTTAAATTATAATAAAATGGGTTTCCAGTTTATACTTATTTCGGAAATACAGTACTTAAAAATAGTGGGATTTTATCAAGGGAATTGGTGATTAATCTACCGATCCCTCTAAATCCATTATGTCTGCCTTAATCCCCAGATATCATTCCATTTGATCCTTCTTTAGCCGTTCAAATCACTTTTATCACTTTCAAATCCCTGATATCCCTTTTAATCATTCAAATCTCACATTTCGATTTCCGGCTTCCGTTTTCCGAAAATTCAGAAAGATGTTCGAGTTGCGACTTTTAGCCATTTCGGTCTTTCGACAGTTCCGATTTCCGGCACTTAAGCATTTCAGATCGCTTTATGAGTCAATCCGAGCATGTAAGCAACTTAAATTGATTGTATAATTAGGCAACCCTCTCCAATCTTTTCATAGCTAACAAAATTTTGAAACATTAGTAGCATATAGTGAGGTCAAACTGTATTTTAATTTTTTATTTTATTAAATTCGATTTAATTTGTAAACAGATTGTATATCCTCGCTGATCGCGTATTTACAAAGTCTATTGTTCCTTTCAAAAAAACAGCATTATCTAAAGAAGAATATGCACTATTAATGGCTATTATATTTTCACATCCGAGTAATAATAATTATTTTAAAATTTGAAATAAAATTTTTTTAATTATAAAGTTATAAAAGGTCTATCATACGTAGGAAAAGATTTGTTGTATGAAGAATGTGCTCGATATACTAAAATGTTACTTCAATATACTCAAAATAAATTTGGAGTGCTTGAAGGTGCAAGACGATTAGATGAATGCATGCTTTTAATAAATACGTCTATACAAATAAATCAAGCATCTGGTGAAATGCATAGCTTTATGCGTGAGAAATACTCTTTTACATTGCCCAAATTTTTTAAACATTTTTGAATACATTAGTATTGGATTTTTTATAAAATAAAAATTTTATTTTATTTTTCGGAATCAAACCCACCAGGTGAATTACCCACTCTAATTGAATCTAATTGAATAACCCCTTTTTAATGCTGAAGTTCTTCAAATATAAAAAGATAATTTTTATTCATTTTTATTCACCTTTTTTATTTTCGTTACATGTATTGAAATGTATAATTATTGTAAATTAAATTATCAAAATGATTGAATTATTTTAAAGTAGTATTTACATCGAGTATTTATAAAATAATTTGCAAAACATCGTATTCGAGGTAATCGAAAAAAATAATAATTTTTTGTTTGGGAAATTAGCTCGATATCGATACATATATATCCTTCGATATCTCCTTCAAATCAACATACTCATTGTTAATGCTCCCAACAATTTCAATATTTCCGTCAGTTCCTGAAAATCACAAAAATCCCCGATATCTTTCTTAACATTTAGTAATTAATCCATAATTACTCTAATCTTTTTAGATGTTTCAATTATTAGAAATTCGATAAAATATTCGTCATTTTTTGTCGAATTACTCGAAAAGAGATAATTTCCTAATTAAATTCTGAATTATGAAATAATTTCCGAGTTGTGGACCATGATCAAAGAACCCCCAAGAAAAGTCTTGAGACGAGTTTCAAAATCAAAAGTAAAAAAAAAGAATTACATTATTTATTTTAGAAAATTTTATTAGAATCAAAATTACATTAAAAATCAAGTTTAAAATATTCTGCATTTTTTTGAAAAATTTGATTTAGATCACGGCCGAACATTAAAATGTGCGAAGAGTTTGTTAAAACAAAAATAAATCAAATTTTTGAATAGAAATTAGTACTTTTAAATGATTTATAAGAAAATTTTCATTTTGTCAAAATTCCAATCCCTGTTTAGTCTCCTGAAAAAGGGTCACAATTCTGAGGAATTGTCTGAGGATATTTATCACACTGATAGATATGCATTTCCTCAAATGCTTGATCTATTTGTAAAGATGTATTTATTAAAAGTATGCATTCATCTAATCGTCTTGCACCATCAATCACTCCAAATTTATTTTGAGTATATTGAAGTAACATTTTAGTATATCGAAAATATTCTTCATACAACAAATCTTTTCCTTGATATGATAGACCTTCAATATCTTCATAAATAAAAATATTTTATTTTAAATTTATTTTGCTTTATACTTGGTCTTGAAAATAAAATAGCCATTAATAGTGCATATTCTTCTTTAGATAATGCAGCTTTTTTAAAAGGAATAACAGATTTTGTAAATACTCGATCAACCAATGTAAACAATCTACATATTTAAAAGATAAATTTAAATCGAAGTTGATAAAATATCATATAAAATACAGACGGACCTTACTGTAAGAATACACCCCCATTTCTTCAGATACAGAGGTGTGCGAGTGGCATGCTTATACATACTATATACCCCCTATATCCATTTAGATACTGACAAATCCAAATATACAAATAATCGTACAACACCCTCCATATATCTCTTTATCCCTCGTAAAATATATATTCACCTCACAAATCTGTCTATATCGGAATCTAGGGGTTATACTCTAAATCCTTCTTAATCTCTCAATATTCTCCAATCCTCGCCAAATGTCAGTGGAATTAAGGAAGGATAGAACATTTTAAGAAAGATGTCGAAATTTTTTGCAATATACCTATTTCAGTTTAGCTTAAACATTTTTATTTTTTTCCAATTGTTCATAACCAAAAAATCGGTACTACCGCGGTACTGGAAGACTTATCGGTACGGTACTGTACCGGTTGTACCGAGAAGTACCGGTCCGGTAGTACTGTCAGTACCGCGGTTTTGCTAGTCCAGGCACCTTCAAAGCATATAAGGTCTATTTTTCATTGAGGTCCAACAGTGTAGTAATAAGAAAAATGCTTACTTTTTATCCTGATTAAAATAATTATTTTTAATAACACCAAGAGCAGGCATAACACAATCCTTACGTGCCCAGGTATCTACGCCAAGCTCACATGATATAAATGAACTTGTGAAGCATGGAAATATATCTGATACGTGCCGACAAAGTGCAACCTGCAAAAAAATAATTTAAATTATTCAGTTTAAATCGGAGGACTTTGTCAGTTATAGATAATTTTTTGAATACAGGCATTGATTTTGCAATAGCAACACATATCAGTTGATCAACAAGAATACATTTATATGTCCTTTTATTATAAAATCCTTCCCTTTCATTGTCTAATTCCCAGCTAAGCATCTCTTCTTGAGAAATAGGATACGGATTTGGCTTGAAAGTTTAAGAAATATTTTAAGTAAATTTTAATATAAATTCACCGAAAACATCTCAATATGATCGAAAATATTAAAGCCTGAAAGTATAATATCCTCGCAATAAAGTGAACCCTTGAGCAAATTATCGTTGAAATCATTAAAAGCATGCATAATTCTTTTCTGATCCTCAGCTATTTTTAATAGTAAATTAATCTCTTTACATTCTTTAGCAGATTTATCAACAATCACAGCAACGATCTAAAAATTACCCAAAATAAAATTTTTATTTCACGTATAAGTGGTTGAAAATATTTTTTTAAGACATCTACTCCCAGATTTCCGTTGATTTTTAGGTTTTTGGATCTCGATGTAGGGGTTATGTTAGAACTAAGTTTCTTTAGTATTTTCGATTCACATCACTAAATATGTTCAGAGGAATTTTTGTAAATTTTTCGGACGACACCTAATGTCGAAATCTTAGGGGTGCTTATAATTATATGACAGTCGTTTTAACGGAATTTAATTTATTTTCTCTAATATCCATATTTATTTTATCAATGAAGGTTTTTTTTCTGTTCAATATGCATCAGAAAATCCTAAAAATATTTGAAATTGTGATATATTAACTTTAATTATAAACTTTAAACTAGGGTGTGCTTATAATTTTCTGACAGAGTGTACAACCTTTTAATAAGGATTTTAATTAAAAATGATTAAATAATCCCCAATATATCCCCAAACTAATTTTCCCTATTTTTGTAATGTTCTTGAGTGTTACAAAAAGGATCAAGAGTTCTTACCTTTTGTTCATCGCAACTTTTATTTATTTGTTGTTGTCTAGATGTATATTTTCTAGTTTCTTTCATTCCCACAGAAAGGCATTTATTGAGATAACATCTCTCACAGTCTATCAACCTTAGTTTTATTTTCCCAAAGGTTGTTAAACATTTGCATTCAAATTTTTGTTTTTTATTTTTTAAATATATCCTTTTTAAAATTTAAATGTTTTTTTAAATAAATTTATAAAACTTGAAAAATGCAGCACAAACTCTACAACAATTAACGTTGAATTGATGTGAAACTTTCAAAGAAGAATCGCAAACTTGACATTTATTGACCAATTTTCTCTCCATTTTACTAGAAATAATTATTAAAAACTTTATTGAAAATTAGGCCTAAGTTCGTTTTATGTGTCTGATCTAGATATAGACTTAGCCAAAATTTTTCCGCGGAAACAACTTTGGGCCGAGATATACATAGGGAACGAAATGGTCAAAAACTATAGGAAGAAGTAAGCTCATTTTTAAGGTGATTTTCGTTGATTTTGGTCTCTTTCGACTCAGCTCGACGAGCTCTTTCGAATGAGATATAATTTGCATATTCAAATTTTTCACCCCAAAAAATGTGCTTGGTCCCTCCTATGGTTTTTCGAACTTTAGGGTGATGTATTAATCAGTTAACTAAAAGATTAAATGTAATTCTAATTCTAAATAGTGATTAATTATGAAAAGAGGCATTTATTGAATATAATTTTACACTGTGGTACAATTCTCGACTGATTTTGTTTTTAAATTAAATTTTATCGCGATTGGTCTTATTATATCCGCAACTAAAGTAGCTAAAATCCTTCTATATGTATTAGCGGCTTTTGGATCTTTGAGCTAAAGCCAGCCAATATTAATCGGCACAAAACTTATCGAGCTATATTTTTTGACACACAAGTCATGGGTCATGTTCTAGTAGCC